AAAAAGAAAAGAAAAGAAACTATAAACATAAAACAAGGAACTGTAGAAGGTCAAAGGAGGACCCAAAACATATGATGATGTAACTATAGATGCATGCTTATAGGATCAAATGGTATAAATACAGATGTAACAGGAGAATAAAGAGAGAACCTGGTTATGCTGATCATCTGTAAAAAAAAAAGTCATAATCACTAGGTGAATTACATACAACTAATAAAAGGTAGGTGATGGGGACTTACTGTCTGTTCCAGATTTAAGTCCATTTTCAACAATGGTTTTCCCACATGATTTTTCTGGACTTTTGCGAGAATATCTTTCACCTAAAAGCAAATATAATAGATTGTCAAAATGTGTATTCTTTAACTTAAAACAATCTTATTCTTTAACGCTATAAAATAAATAAAATGTTAAAGTGAAATAACTAAAATATACCTTTAGCCCTAGCCAGTTTGGCTCAGTGGATAGAGTGTCAGCCTGCAGACCAAGGGTCCTGGGTTCGATTCCAGTTAAGGGCATATACCTTGGTTGCAGGATCCTCCCCAGCCTGGGCCCTGGTGGAGGCTCTTGCAGGAGGCAACCAATCGATATGTTTCTCTCACATCAATATTTCTCTCTGACTTTCCCTCTCTCTTCAACTCTCCCTAAAAATCAATGAAAAAAAATCCTCGGGTGAGAATTAACAAAAACAAAAAACAACAAATAAACAAAATAAAATATACCTTTACATACTAGGAAAGAATATCACTACAAAGCAGAATATCTTTTTCTCTTTCTTAACATATTTGTATTGATTTCAGAGAGGAAAGGAGAAGGAGAGAAAGATAGAAACATCAATGATGAGAGAGAATCATTGATTGGCTGCCTCCTGAACGCCCCCTATTGCTGACTGAGTCAACCTGGGCATGTGCACTTGACCAGAATCGAACCTGGGCCCCTTCATTTGGCAGGCCAATGTTCTATCCACTGAGCCAAACCAGCTAAGGCCAGAATATCTTTTTCAAAGAACATTAGCTATATTAATTCAAGCTATAACACACCTTCTTTGCCAGAATAAGAGATTATGTACATAGACAACTACAGTAGTTATAGGTTTTGCAATAAGAATAGTATATTTTACGTAAAACAATTTTGGAGTTTCTTCTTAAGATGATACTCTCAAAAAAAATAAAATTTAAAAAAAAGATGATACTCTCTTACATCCTGGTAAATCCTCTAAAAGAATACCTTTGACAAGCACATTGATTTTTCTCAGTTAAGTACTATGTACACATTCCAATTATAAGTATTCTGGTTTCATTGTTCAGCAGATACCATAGGAGATCAAGCCCCCTCACTTATAGTCACCACATACAAACTTCATTATTTTTGCAAACACATAAAAGAAAAAATATGTAAATATTTCCTTTTGATAGGTACTGAATAGAAAAGGAAGTCCTTTTAAGTAAATATTTAGCCACAATGACTCCAGTAACAACTACCTTATAATTAACCTGTCAGCATTTGAACACAGGCATTGTAGCCTGCCTTAAATAGGGAAAAGAGGTTTGAGGAAATTATTACTACTAAATGGAACCCATAAAAGGAAAGGAAAAAACCTTTAGAAAGAGCCCAGATATCTGTTTCATTTTGAAACAGTCCCCAAACATTTTAGCCAATACCAGATCATTCCTAATCCAGAGGAAATGAGGGGAAAAGAAACCCTGAAGAGTAACTTGTTAACTCTAGAACAGTGTTTTTGAGCTGGGATTTACTTACTAATTCTTTTAGCTGTGCCCAGCTGGTGTGGCTCAATGGTTGAGCATTGACCCAGGAACCAAGAGGTCACTAGTTAGATTCCCGGTAGGAGCACAAGATTTGCAAGTTCTATCTCTGCCCCCCAAAAGTTTCTTTTTTTCTTTTTTTAATATATTTTATTGATTTTTTTACAGAGAGCAAAAGAGAGAGACAGAGAGTCAGAAACATCAATCAGCTGCCTCCCGCACACCTCCCACTGGGGATGTGCCTGCAACCAAGGCACATGCCCTTGACTGGAATCGAACCCGGGACCCCTCAGTCCACAGGCCAACACTCTATCCACTGAGCCAAACCAGTTAGGGCAAAAGAGAGTTTCTAATACTGCTTTCATCTTAATAATACTAAAATTTTCTCACATTCATTAAGGCAAATATTTTTTATTTTTCAGTTCATAAAAAAATAAATGCAAAAAAAATACTTTACTCAAGGTTTTAGTTTAAAGCAGTATGTCTAAACATGGAGTGTTAATAGCTATTCTTAAGGTGAAAATTTTCTTATCCTTTAAAATGAACCCTATATCATTCCCTTACGGGGCTCCTATAAAACCTAGAAATTAGGTCAGAATTTGGTCTGTGAGAGTTGAATTCTTGCTAACATATGGTTCGACTAAGAAAAGGGGTAGTTTAATAATTGAAAATAATTCAAAAAGCTTGAAGTAGGTAGTTTGTGGTTGTTTTCACTCCATTAGAATATTCATTCATTCACTCTACAACAAACACTAAATACTTATCCACCAGAAATTGTGCTGCCAAAGAGAACTACATTGCAATTCTATTAACAACATCCACTAAAAAAATGTAATTTGCCTTTGACCTTATAGAGGATAACTCTACTTGTTTCACTATGGTATATTTCAACCTTGTTTAGGAAAGGGATCCTTAAATTTGCAAAGTGATTTCCATCATGCAACTCTCAAAAGCCTGAGGCAGATTAGGTCACAAACATATTAATTCCAAATCCAAAGTTTAGTTTTGGAATTAATGTATATCTTGAAATGGAATGTATATCTTATACTTAAAAGGAAATATTTTCATATTTAATACAACATTTACATGTTAGCATTTAGTTGAATTTTGGGGAAAGAAAAATAAAACAAATACAATACCTTTGACTCCACTTGGTTTAACGTAAGTGGAATGTCAGAAGTTGCTGAATTGGGAACACCAAGGGTATCACAGATAGCTTGAACTTCCTGATAAATTTCACTGTTTTTATCTAATTGAGAATTTTTACATTTCTTGTTCTGTAATATCTGTAAAGCTTGAAGCTCTGTACTTAAAAATACTATAAGAAAAAGGAAAAACAAATAATGTTAAAATGTACACAAACTCATTAAAAATCCCATTTCTGGGCATATATCCAAAGGAACTGAAGTCAGGATCTAAAAGAGATATGCATTACCATGTTCACTGCCATATTGTTCACAATAACCAAGATATAGATATAAACAACCTGTGTTCTTTGACAGATGAATGGATAAAGAAAATGTGGTATATACATACAAAGGAATATTATTCGGCCATTAAAAAAAGGAAATCCAGCCATTTGTAACAACATAGATGAACCTGGAGGCCACTGTGCAAAGCGAAAAAAGCCAGACACAGGAGCACGAATACTACATGTCACTGTGATGAGAAACCTAAAACAGTCAAACTCATAATACAGAAACTAGAATGATGGTTGCCAGGGGGGTGGTGAAACAGAGAGTTATTAGTCAAATATAAATTTTTTAAGAACTAGTGATCTGTTTTAATGAACTTTTAAAATCAGAAGGACCTTGGCATAAGTCCCCATAAGCCAAGTTGGATACAGTGATCAGATTATATAACATAAGTCCTAGAGATCCACTACTTCACCACATTGTGGCTATAGTTAACGGCACTGTACCGTAATTTTTAAATACTTAAAAATTTGCTAAGAGGATAGATCTTATGTTGTATTCTTATCACACAAAATAATAATAATAAAGTGGAAGGAAACAAACAAACAAAAAGACTGTGCCTACCCATAGTTTAAAGTGCAGTAGGAGAGACACACCAGTAAATCAATAACTTAAGAATGTATAAAAATGTGTAATATTCTGATAATATATTCTCTTTCATATACAAAGACTGCTCAAGCCAGGGGAGAACGTAGAGCTCTAACTAATCTACAAGCAGATAGAGTATAGAGTAATCTTGAATAATTATTTGCCTTCAGGATAGACCACCCCTTTACTGTCACCATTTCATTTAAGTCTTTCAACAGACATATTTAAGAAAATTACTCAAAATCTTAGATGGTTATAGTCTTATTTTAAATTAACTTTCACCAAGTTGTTAAAATATTAGGGTTCTGCTTGTTTTTATTCATTTAAAGTTACATACACACACACACACACACACACCCCACAATTTAATACAGTAATTTTAACTTCAGCTAAGCAAAAGAAGTATCTGAGAAACTTTAAAAGTATATACTATTAAGTGCCAGGATCCCATCCTCAGAGATTCTGAACCAGATCTGAAGTAAGAGTAGGACATCTGTGTGGTTTGTTTTACACCTAAGGTGATTTTCATGGGCAGACAAAATTGAGAGACACTGATTTAAAGACTTTTCCATGCAATCTACACGTCAGACAGTCTAAAGAGCCCACAAAAAGTTAAGACCAATAAGTATCAAACTTTGCTTATGAGGATATGCCAAGGACTCTCTGATTTCAAAATTTCATAAAACAAATCACCAGTTCTTCAAAAATTTATATTCTGTATAGAACCTTGGCTGAAGTCCACCTTGTTCATTGGAAGCATGCTCTATATAACAGTACAAACAAGAGTTCAGTCTAGTATTTAAAATGCTAATCCATGCAGATAGTAAACAATCCAGTAAAAGTCTTCTTCCTACCACAGATCCTCAGATTCCCCTTTTCCTGAGGCAATCATCATTAGTTTTTTGGCTATCATTTTAGGCATATATGTGTATGTATATTTAATATATGTATCTACCACCTATGCACTTTTCTTTTTTTCTATAAGACATACTACGAATGTTCTGTATATTCAATTTTTATTTACCAATATAACTTAGAGACCATTCCACATCAGCACATTTGATCTGTTCTCATTCCTACGGCTATAAAATAGTATCATTGCAAAGATGTGTATCACTGCAAAGATGTACCATTGCTACTTAACCACTACAAACAATGCCATAGTGAACATCCTTTTCATATATCTTTGTACACTTGGGGAAATAAATATGTATGCCTAATCATAAAATTGCCAAGCCAAACGGCAGGTGAATTTCAATGGTATTAATAAACCCTTCCAGAGGTAGTACCAGTTATTCTCCCACCACACTCTAATGCCTATAGTATATGAGAATGCTTAGTTTAGTCTCCCAAACTTTATTATGACTTAAAAATATGTTTGGGGCGGAGGTATTTGCTAACTCAGTAAGTGAAAATAAAAACGATATCCTATCATTTTATTTTTTTATAAAAACTTTAACTTTGAGAGATATTGTGCATCTTTTCATGTTTAAAAGTGATTTAAAAGTTTTTTTTTCTGTAGAATGCCTTTGTCTTACGTGCATTATATATTTTTCCAGATTTTTTTCTTCTTGATTTACAAAAGTTCTCCACATAGTAAGGAATTTGGCCCTTTTTATTTAATACATGTTGTACACACTTCCAAGAAGATGAAGAAGGTTCTTACATATGTTTCAACACAGTCAAACCAAAGATAAAAATGGAATAGATGCTGGTAAAATTGTGAACTGGTATAACCTTTCTGGAGCAAAATATGGCAATATATACCTAGACCAGAGATCTTTTTTTTAAATGTTCATAATCTAGCCGTAGCCCGTTTGGTTCAGTGGATAGAGCGTCAGCCCTCAGACTGAAGGGTTGATGGTTCGATTCAAGTCAAGGGAACGTACAGTGATTGCAGGCTCGATCCCCAGCCTGGGTCGGGGCATGTGCGGGAGGCAACCAATCAATGTGTCTCTCTTACATCAATAATTCTTTCTCATTGTCTGTCTCTCCCCCTTCCTTCCACTCTCTCTAAAAATCAGTGGAAAAATATCCTCAGGGGAGGATTAACAGAAAAAAGTTCATAATCTAAGTAAAAGTAATCCAAAATTATAAATAAATTAATGTAAAATAGAAAAAAATAAAAAACCCAAATTTGAAACCTATTAAATAAATGTTATATCCATAGCATAGAATGTTATGTAGCCAATTTAAATATTTTTTAAATATTAAGTGATGGGGAAATGCTCACAATATATTAACTGAAGAGGAAAAGGGGAAGGAACTATATCTGTAACAAGATCTCAATCTTATTTAAATGTGGTGGACAAAGGAAAGAGAGAAGGAAAAGAAAATATGCCAAAAGGTGATTCACAATTCTGAGAAGATTATAAACGATTTTGTTCTTTACAAGTTTATTTACTCTGTAAGATTTTTATGATAAGCATGCAATTTCTTAATATATAACATCATAACATAAAATTTACCATTCTATTTTTTAAGTGTACAATGGCATTAAGTACTGTTGTGCAACCATCACCACATCCATCTCCAGAACTTTTTCATCTTCTCCAGCTAAAACTCTGTACCCCAGAGGGAAACCAAGATGGAGACATAGGTAAACACCGGAGTTTGCTGCCTCAAACAACCACTTCAAAAATACAACTAAAAGACGGAATGGACATCATCCAGAACCACAGGAAGGCTGGCTGAGTGGAAGTTCTACAACTAGGAGGAAAGAGAAAAACATACCGAGACTCAGAGGAGGCGCAGTGCTGAAGTAAAATACTAAGGTGCGGAGTGCATGTGGAGCGAGCTGGCGGCTGAGGGTGCGGTTGTCGTTTTCAATCAGGAGGGAGTCTCAAGCTCTGAGCTCCAGCTCCGGGTGAGTCTCTAGGGACCCAGACTCATACGGGAGAAGCGGAACTGTCTGGCATCGCTCAGAACCCTAGGGCAGCTTTCTCTCCATGGGGCTTGCAGTGATTACTGGGACACTGAGAAGCAGAGCCTCTGAGGGCAAGACTGAGAGCAGCCATAATTGCTAACCCCGCCCTGTTGATCCCATGTTACCCGCCCTGCCCAAGCCCTGCAGGGAGACTTTTGCTGAATAGCCTCAGGCAAAGGCTAGATTAGCACCTCCCTAGAGATCCAGGAGCCATGAA